ATTTCTCAGGAGTTGACAGAGGAAAGTAAGGATGGATGGATGGATGGATGGATGGATGGATGGATGGATGGATGGATGGATGGATGGATGGATGGATGGATGGATAGATAGATAGATAGATAGATAGATAGATAGATAGATAGATAGATAGATAGATAGAAGAAAGTGGCATTCTCTGCTTCACAGAGTGCTGCTGTGGTAAGCAGAGATAGGGCCTTAAGTGGCATAAGGGCCAGTTCAGCCAATTAAATTGCCTGTCTAGCACTCCAGTAGAGACCTTCTGCAAAAAAAGCATGTGCTCTGCCACTAAGCTGAGATCCCTCCCTTTCAGTATTTTTTACATCCTGCAATATTTTAAAGAATTTGCAGCATGCACTTTAATCATTCACAGACATATTTCAGTAGCTTAAATTTGTGGGCTAAATGTTCGCTGGTACTCTGGAATTCAGTTAATTCAGCTAGTCAGTGGAGCCTGCACTAAAAGATGATGCAATAACAATGCATTGTTGAGGTACAGTAAAATTGGCTTGTCCTATGCTACCATTTATAACATATTCTTCACCAGTAATTTTATATCAAACTGCCAGATTATTGCAGTAGAGTTACTCCTCATTTTAGCTACCACAATTGGGATCAGCAACTCAGTTGTTAAGCAAAGCAGTCACTAAGTGAAACCACAATAGTGCTTATGATCTTACTTCAGCTTTCCTTTGCTTTATAGAGGTGCCAAGGTCATAAATGTGAGGATTGGTCATAAAGTTATTTTTTCATCACCATCATAATTATGAACAGTTGAACAGTCACTAAACGAGGCAGTTGCTAAATGAGGATTACCTGTAATCCTCAATTCCATGTATAAAAATAGCCGTTGGAACTTCTAGTGTCATCACAGGGCAACAGATCTGATATACTTCATACATCTTCTAGTTTATCAAGATAGTGAATATACTGTCTCACAGTTCTGGTAAAAGGCAATAACATGTTTCAGGACAAATGTTCTCTGTATCAAGGTTCTGTCTAAAATGGAGTCTCTTATACTAAATGTTTCACCTTTCACCAGAATTCAAACTACACAGGAAAGTGATTTGTTTTATCTTTGGGACTCTTGCCTGACCTACCTTCCTTCCTTCCTTCCTTCCTTCCTTCCTTCCTTCCTTCCTTCCTTCCTTCCTTC